AAAGAGTGTGCAATCTTAATGAGAAACAGAAAGTGCTCTGCAGAGCTGCACTTTTCTCCAGGAGTCCCACTTCTTTTGCTGCATCCTAGTTTTCAGACACCGTTGATTGATTACCAGCTAAACAGCTTCTAAGTTAACAAAATGTACTTGTTAAAAATCAAGAAAAAGGTTACAATTAGCTATTCTAAACCATTGCCACAAGTTTAAATTTGCCTTTTCCTGTCACCTTTCTTCCTGGAGCAATATGTTGCTTAGAAATCCATGCTATTAACATGCATTTCCTGAATCTAGTTAGTAATTCTAATTTGTGTGTCTTCAAATGACTGGGAAAATACAGAACTTTGGCTGTGTAGTTTTGATTGTCCATCATGTAACTTTGCAGATGTCACCATGCTATGAGACTGACCATGACTGTTTAAAGTTTGGGGTTTTTTTTACCCTAGTTTCAGCTTTGTGGTTATTTGTATTAGAGTTACTGTCGTAGGAGAGCCTTGTGAAATTACTTTTGAAGTCAATGTTAAATTGCCGTTACTTTGTCAAGGTTGGGTCTTGCTAATGAAGCTTATCTGAATACATCCTTCAGAGAGTAGAAAACATACAGATCTATCCTTCTTAGTTCATGAGATAATAATCATTAAAAATCATGTCAGTATACCAGTGGAAAAGATCACATAAAAGATGCAAGAAGTTAACAACCTGCCCAGATCTTAGCATGTCACCTAATTTAATAAAATTTTTCATTATTCTTGCATAATACAATCATCATTAAAAATCTTTCCTCTTTTTTGTTACAAAACAAATCTGAAGTTATTATTTGCTTCAGCTGCAGTCAGATGTAGTTCCTGTTCGCTTATGCCAAAGCAGTTAAATCTTAAGAAGTGAGGTAATCACTGAATTTCAAAACTGAACTTTTGCTATGCCATCATGCATTTTCTCAGGCTTGGAGATAGGTAAATGGATCGAGATATATTTGAATGAAATGTCATCTAAAATTTGCTGGGAGATGTAACTGAGTGGAGTTGAAGCAGATTTAATAATTTTTTTATTTTTTTTTTACTATTCTTGTTTGCTTACATGAAACGTTGCAAGCAGTATTGTAGGTCAAATTCCTAAACATAGAAGAACCTGTGCTTCCAGGTTCAGGTGACCCACCCAGCTACCCTGAATCCCCATGTCACTCTCTTGAAAGATAAAACTGTATATTAATGTGAGGTCAGTGGGTGTTGTAGTTCTTGATTTCTTTTTTCCTCATTATGTGATATTTATTTTCTCCCTTATTTTTGAAAATGATTTGGTCTCTAGAAAGCAGCGTATCTCAGAAAGTGGCGTTTGGGTTTTAGCAGTGCTATAGCCTTCCTACTGTGCATCTGTCCTTCTTGCTAGTTTCAATGACTCCATTAACGCTAATTTGTATTACATGTATAATAAACAAAGGACATAAATGTGTTATTCCACTTCCAGGTTCCTGTGGCATTATTTAGTCACTGAAGCTACGCAGTTAGGCTGTATGTCGTCACCAGCATTCCTTCTTAGAATTGCAGTATACCTTATACACTGATGTCCCTGTTTAAGCTATACTGTTAAATCATAAAATATAAACTAACTTCTTGATTTATGGAAGGTATATAAACGTAGCCTTCTAGGCAGTAGCGTAGTACTTAGTATTATCTCTTGGTGTTTTTCTAGTAGTAACTGTTAGTTAGCAGCACACTTACTGTCATGCTTTTTCCAGCAATTCTAACACATCAGAAAGAGTCCGTTGTCTATGCTGGAAAGGAGGTAATATTCGAAGAAATGCTGTTACTAATATTAAATGACTGAGATAAGTTTTATGTTCCCAGACTGACTGACTGATGAAAGGACCAATAACACTTAAATTGGGGGAGTGGGGAGGGCGAGGAGAGCAGAGAGGAGAAGCAGAAGTAAAGTGTAAGCAGTGATTGATTTCTAATTTTTTATATTCTGCTCATTTTGTGCAAAACTATTATTTTAAAATGCAGGGAGGAGTGATAACATGAAACAACTCTGATAACTAATAAACTTTTTTGATTCTGCTTCGTATGTTTACTTTTCATTAAATTTAGGGACGGTTGCAACTATGTTGTTGTGATTCAGTCAACATTTATTTCTAT